CCACCTCCCCCCTTTCCCTCTCTCTTCACTCGCTCAGGTCTCGCAAGCTGGATGCTGTCCTCGCTGCGCTCATCAATTTTTGCATTTTAATGATATTTGAGTCGCGATGCGACCGCGGACAAAAACGATATCGACATAGCCAACGCGCACGTTGATTATGATGGTGCCGTGCTCATGACCAAAATCCATCTATGTTAACTCAAGTGCTGAAGGCCGTACTGCAAATGCTCTTTATTCTAGCTACGCTTTAATGAGCAAAGTTTTTAATGATGATCTCTGGCGATGTTATTCAAGCGGAAAACTTTAAGCTAGAATTTTACAAGTCATCAAATGGCAGGTCCTTAAATGGAAAATTCAAGTCAACAGCTAAGTACTTCTCGAATAAGGCTATATTCTCCTAATTCAGTTTTCATATAAAGCTGATGTAGAAGGAAATATATTTTAAGAGAATTCCTTGATTATTTCAAAAACAAAAGTATGGAATCTCTACGGATGGGATAGCTGCCACAGCTCGGCCCAAGTTGATTGAAGCCATAATATCAAAACACTTGGCAATTTCTTGAGCTTACAAGTTTTCCTAAACTTTTCCGATTTTTCCCATTTGCATATTTATATTATATGACAGGCGAAAACATTTCATATCTCAGCTTTTTTCCCATTCTCATAAATAATAATATATAAATATCAAATTTAAATGCTTGACTGAAGAGTATTTCCTGTTCGATCGAAACACCGTCCCCAGAAACTCGCGTAGCGGCTGCTGTATCTATTTTGGCTGAACATCTACCGTGACCATGGAGGGCACTGTGAACCTTTCGTTAAATTGAAATGTAATTAATTTCTGGTGCACACGCTGGCCCCCTCCAGCCAGGGCTGCTTAATTCCCAGGGAGTGCGTAAAATATTAAACAAAGCAGCATCAAAATCATAACCAAAACAGTGCCCAGTTGTTGGCCAACTCGTAGACGGATAGTAAATTGAAAGCGAATCACCCGTCCCAGCGCTCATTTCGTATGAGAGCGAGCGAATGCGTGTGCCGCGATTCCCTCGAGAAATTTTTAGAAATCCTAGCCAGCCGAATGGGGGCCATGTTGTGGCCCGGCCGCAAGCGTTTGAGCAACCGACTAGATTACTCTGTGGCAGCTGCTGCGTCGCCTCGCAGCCCGGCCTTGAGCGAAAATAAAAGGCAATCGTTTTATTGCCAGCGCAGATTGGCCATAAAAATGTCACCTGTGACTCGCCACGGACCGCAAGAAATCAAATAGATTCAAGCTGCGACCGATTTGCCAGCCCCACTTCACTAACCGCCAAACGTATATATATACATATGTATATATAGACTGTACATGTACATTTATATATTCATATATATAGTCAGCCACGACTTGCTGAAGACAGACAATATACATAATTTATGCAAAACTAACACAGCAATAAAAGGGAGCAGAGAAAACATGGCAGTGGAATGTGGAAGGTTTACTTGGCGCTTGCCCTGCAAAGTATGCTAAATCAAATGTATCACGACATTTACAACCAAAGCGGGCAAGGGGCGACATTAGCTGGCTCAGAGTACAGGGTATGCGAGGCAAACGAAGGTTGGAAAGTTCTTTGCACAACTTATCACAGTCAATGCAGCGGGAGTAAACACTTTCGCCTCGCAGCTTGTTTGATTTAAATGCAAATATACATCAGGACATCAGTACATGGGGATAGGAGGACGGCAGGACGGCAGGACAGCAGGTAACTTCAGCAGAGCTGGGCGCGTGTCTTGGCCAGTTTGCACGACGGCTTGTCCCCGTTAAGGACAACATCAACGTCAAAGTCAACGCGATTTTCGTCCTTTCTCCGTTCGTGCGATTTCAGCGAAATTCGCTGCTATCAACGACCATTTGCCATTTTCTTGTTACGCATTGATATGCAAAGTGAAATGCGTTTTCAGCCCTCTCCCTATCTCCCGCTCCCACCCTCTATCACTGTCATTGCCCCTCTTTGGTTATTCAGCCCTCGTCAAGGCCACAAAATGGACCACTTTTCCCTTTGAATTGGCCCGACTTGATGTCAATTCAATTGCGGCTTGTGATAATAGTTTGAATGGCACGATTTTTGATTTAATTGGACTGATAGTCAAAGTCTATCTATCTTAGCATGCCATGGATTCTTAATGCGACATTTTGAGACTTTATTAAGCGAAAATATGTTTAAAGCGTTTAAATAAATTTTACATATATTTTAATTATTTTATTTCTTTATTATTGTTAATTTGCTTGTACGTATTGTATTTTATTTATATTTAATAATATTTTTCTATTAATTTATTTATATATATATATATATATATATATATATATATATATATATATATATATATATATATATATATATATATATATATATATATATTTTTTTTTTTTTTTATTTATTTTTTTTTTATTTAAAGAGCAAATAAAGTTTCACTGAATGTAATAATTTCAAGGCTCCATTTATATTGCAGTAAGTCCATTAAAAATGGGAGCTCTGAGAAAAATGATTTTTTTTATTGGGGTAACAGGCAGGTAAAGTATAATAAATATATATTGTAGATGAGATCGACAAGGTAAGCCTCTTTTTATCTGCCTGTTCTGGACTGTATAAATACAGCAATCTCTTCAGATACGAATACTACTGCATAGCTTAAGCTTTAAATATATACCTTGTACATAAATATAATTATTTCTAAATATTGTGAATATGTAACTCATGTAATTGTTTAATTATATATGTATTTGTTGATAAATGTATAAATATTTATAAATAAAAATCAGCAATAATTTGACTTTAGTTTATTGAACACAATCACAAATGCTGTAAATATTTCTGAAATAAACAAACTATTAATAATTCCCTTTTATTAAATTAAACTTAGTTCAATTATTAAGGATTAAAGCTCTTTATTTTTACTTGGCTATGTAGCTTTCATTCTTCCAATCTGTCTTCCCTTAACTAATAATTTATTTATAATAAATCTTTATGATAAATGAGTTACTCATGTGTGTACAATAAGAGATGCACATCCTATAGGGTATCTCCTAGTCTGATGTTTCTGAACAGAGCACTCATACTTGCTGCTTGCCAATGAAAGTCATCAACTGTAACCATGCCTTATACTATTCGCCCTCTTAATGCGACAGCCAAAGTAATTTGTAACTACAATTACAGTTATAGTAATTAGAGAAAACCGTGTACAGCTAATATGAGAAAACGAAATATCAAAATTAATTTGCGAAACAAATGAAAGCGCAAGAATAAACAAAAATCGGCAGACTTTATTTAGGGTTTATGCTGATTATATTTCCACATCTTTAAGCTAATATATCGAGCTGCAGTTTTTCCCTCTCTCTCCCTCTCTCGCTCATTCTCTCTCTCACACTTTCTGTTTTTTCAATTCCTCTCTCTCTCTTTCCTTTAGTCTCATCTCGAGCTTTTTTTAATACAATTTCACTGCAAATCTCTAATCAACACAAACACTAAGGGATCAAGTTTTCATTTTGAACACAGCTCAAATAATAAATTCATAGCATAAAAGAAAAGTTTTCACTTTTTGAATAGCGCCCACAATACCATGACAAAAAGAACATTCTCTAATCAAAGAGTGAAGGCAAAAAACTTTCATACATTTTTCATGCACGTATTAGATAAAGTTGAAATGGTTTGCTGGAGAAGAATTAACATGGCAACTCTTATATATATGTAGTATTTTTTAAGTATTGATTAAATTTAACTTTTATTATTTTTATTTTTTTTTTTTTTTAATTTAATTAAAAGTTTTGTAATTTAAGCGTATAGCTTTAAGAGATAGATTGTAGCAAAGAATATTTGAAGCTTATTATTTATATTTTTACTAAGCAATCAGCCATAAAGCAATTGATAGATTTATTTTGATTATATTAATTTTTCAAGAATATTTATAAACCTAAATATATTGATTCCATTCTAATGCATATATTATAAATGCAAATGATACACTGAATTTAATAATGAAAATAATTGCAGAGTCATTGCATTTAATTTATAACTGATATTACATGAGCAAGCCGACGTGTGGTGAGGGCTTAGCCTGAGTAGTTCTAAAATTAAACACTATTAAGCAGACTGGGACTGCGTCGATACACACACACACACCTAGCCAGATGCATACACACATACACACACACCTATCTACTCTAACAAAACATTGCGCATTTGAGCATTAAGCTGTTACCCGTATGAATTAAGAGACAGCCAAAGACAAAGCAATCAAGGCAAAGTGTGTGTGTGACTGTGTGTGTGTGTGTGTGGGTGTGTGCTGCACTATAATAAATGCTCAAATCTACAATTGATGACATTGCTGTCAGTTGGAGCAAATTCAAATCAATAGTTGGCTAAGCAATCAAACATATTGAAAGCATTTCAATTGTCGTTTCATTTGCAACAACTTTGACACTGCAATAACAATTGGCTCGACGCGTACATACCCCTTAATGCCGACTATTTGCATATTTAATTAAGTACGGTCGCTGTCTGGAATGCAGCTCATTGAGAATGAGAAACAGATGAAGGAAAAACAAACCGTATTAAAAAGAAATTCACTCATTCCTCACGCATTTCCTTTGTTTGCCCCGCCCAGGCCCAGATGCACTTGACTTTTTTATAACATGGGACTTTTACCTTATCTGAAATTCTTTTCTGTTTCTGTGTTTTTTTTTTTTTTTTTGGCTTGTTTGTTGTGTCGCTAAACAAGCAGCCGAAATGAAAGTTGTCTGCTGTCGGTGCCGCTTTGAGTACAAATAAAACTTTTCTTCGGTATTATTTTTCCTTTTCTGTTCGCTCTTTTTTTGCTTTATGGGTTAGCCGAAAAGTTGACTGGAAATTGAATTTGTGCGGATGTAATGAATACACTCTGTGCTGGGTTCATCCCAAATATGTCGAACTTATTAGCGAGTACACTCTTTTAGTTGAAGTTCCTTTCGAAATTCGCTTACCCACCTGCAGACAATTGAATTAATTCGAAGCTTGAGGTTAAGTTGTTGCCCGTGTTTAACTTGCACTTGAAGCTGAAGGCCTGGCCCAGGCAGCTCAACAAAAGTCAAAGCCAAAAAGTTGTATTTTCTTTGCTCAGCCGACGCGTCGCCTCGCGTCGCTTGGCGTCGCCTCCAAATGCCAACTAAAACGGAACCGCAAACACAGCCATGGACCGTAACGTAGCGGATTCGCACTCGAGCACGCACCGGCACTTGCTCTTGACTTGAATTTGTATTTGTGGCGCTTTTGGCTATTCGCGCTCAGCTGTCACACGGGCGAGAATCACGCGCGAGTCTTGGCACCTTGTGCACCTTGGCTAGGCGAATGCGGCGTATACGCAACGAACACGCGTCAAATGTTCTGTTTGTCTGAATGAGCCTAAGAGATTTGTAGCTGATTCTTGTTGTATGAATATGTTTATCTCACATGCGCCGCTTCGCGTCCAGCGCCAACGAGGAAACACAAGCAACTGACGACAGCCTCGAGCTCGAACCGACTCGTCGTTGGCAGCGCGTTCGCACTTTCTGTGCTGTCATACGCCGTGTGTGACGACGCCGACAACGACGACGGCGACGACGACGTCACGACGCCGCCGCAGCAGCAACGCTCACGCCGGCGTTCCCGTTAGCCAACAGGTTATCTGCTGATAAGCGCTCGACTCCACACGAGTCGTCAATCAAGCAATCGGCACACCCGATGCAATTCCCTGCCTCCAACCCGAAGCAGAGCTCTGCGCGCTGCAACGAAAACATCGCCGAGTGAGAATCGAGTTGAGCAGCGAGTGAGTGTGAGTGAGCTGAATGAATTGAGTGAATTGAGTGAGTTCTTTTTCCGTTTCAGCTCTTAGAAGTCTTGTGATTCTTTTTGCTGCATTGCTGGCAAATATTTCTACGTAAATATTGTGACAAATTGAAGGCTTTTGGGCAGCAGGTAAAAAAGTTACCCAATTTTTTGCAACGCGCTGAAAAAGCCGTTACATAAACGGTAAAATTTGTGAAACGCTTGAAATGGCAGCAAACATCATATTCATTACACAAATTAAGAGAGAAAGCATCAACACACTATATACAAAATACTCTTCAATATTTTGTATTATTTCATGGAAGTTTCCATTTACTTGCTGTACCTGAACCCTTGCTACGGGGAACTCTTAAAAAAATGTGTTATTTTTGCATTTTTAGATAACGAACCGAATTTGTTCAATGATTATGTAACTGTGATTTGATACAATGCTGTTTTCATTTCTGAGAACTGTAAAAAAATGGAATTTAGTCGTTTTTTTGGCGTATTTCTCTTTAACTGGAGGTAAATTCACAGTAAATTTGATAAACAGAAAAGGGAAGCAAGGAAGGTTTTGCTTGATTTAAAGCAACAAAAAATGTACTTAAATGGAATAAAAAATTACCAGCCTACCATTAGAATTTGATTCATAATTATGATTGAATATATTGAGTATTGATACTAAAATTATGATTTCATTTAAATTTGTTTTCTGAGAAAGGAAATTTGTAATTGTGATTGTTTTTAGCTGGAAGTAAATTTATGCTGAATTTAATGTAAAGTAAAAATATATATTTCGCTGTCCGGAAATAAATGTAATTAAAATAAATATATTGACAGCCTATCCTTAAAATTGTATTTTATTATAGTATATAAATGCTTAAAATATTGTTAATAATATTGATATATTATGGTCTTATATATTATTATGTTAACAAAGCGTAATTTCAAAACCACAATGTATTTATTGGAATAATGTAGATAAATAATTTACCAGCTTAAGCTCAAATTTCACTTTGTATACACTCAATATTATTCCCTAATCTCCAGTTACAATCGCTTTAACGCAACAAACACAAGATGTTATTCATGTTTCTAAGAAGCAGCTAAGCCAGGGAAATTTAAATAATTGAACTCTTCAATTGGCGAATCGAATCAAGCGCCTGACTTGAACAACAAAATCAACTCTCAGCTCATTACATTCAACTCAATAAATAGCTCAGCTCAGGTCCCAACTTATCAATCAGCTCAAATATAAGTAATTCCAGCTAGGCTTTCTCTCGAACGGCCAGAGCTGTTTATATTTAACATATTTATTTTCTTCTTTTAAAGATCTTCAACTGAATTAATTACAACAGCATCAAAATATATTTATTTTTAAACGTTGCATTCCTTTTCTTTGATAGTTCCATTGAAGAGCCCATCGAGTTTGTATCAATAACAATTAAAATTCCACTTGTTAAGTAGAATCTTGATGTCAAACAAAGCTTAATGCGGACAGTAAACAGTTGTTGGCCATTGTAATTTCTTAACAATACTTGAAAGCCATTCTGGCATTTATTTGCACAACATTCAGTGATGCGAGCTCAAGTGCTTTGGCTAATCTTATTTAACACACGATTGTGTCATATATATATATATATATATATTTGTATGTGTGTGTGTGTGTGTGTGTGTCTGTGTTGCTTTATCCAATCTGTGCTATTAGCCTGCTCAGTTATTCATCTGCTGCTTAACACATGCTGCCTACCGCGAGCTGCTTACTTAATTTCTGTTATCTTCTTAGCGCGTTCCACAGCAAAACACCAGACATGGGGGGTATATACATATATGTATATATATATGTATGTGTACATGTTATATTGTCAAGAGGCCCACGGCTACGATGAGGGTTGTCAAGTGATGCAGCTGCGATTTATTTATTAAGGCCTGTCGACTGGCTGTGTGCCCTTCCTCTTTTCTCTCTCTCTCTCTCTCTCTCTCTCTCTCTCTTTCTCACTCTGTCGCAGCAGCCAACTCCACTTGAGCTCGTTTTCAACTGCTGTGCGAATTCTCTTAGGCTCGATGCAGGAGGGTTCTTTTGGTGAACGCGCACGTTTCCTCACCTCGGTGGCATTATGCTTCATACTTCTCAAGCACATGACATGACACATTTTATGCGCGGGCAAAGTGATGTGAATAGTGGCTCCCGCCACTCCTTCAGAAGGCACACCATGTGACCATAAACAAAGGCCGTTTGCTACCTGGGCGGCTAACCAATTTCACCAACTTGCGCCAAACTCAATCTTAAAGAGCCAAGGAAATTCTGTGACGCTTCCCGTGACTTTTTATTTACCTTTTAGGCATAACTTTACTCTGTGTGTATGAGTGTGCGTGTGTGTGTGCGACATGTGAGCAACCAAGCAGACAACTCCTGTCGCTGTTGACATTGTAAAGTAAATCCGCGTTGCGCATACGCCGCGTATGCCCAGCAGGCTGGTGAGCTGGCTGACAAACTGGCAGCTGCTTTCGAACTTGGCCAAAAGTCATTCAAGGTTCTGTAACTCACGCTAAATCTGAAGGCTAATTTACATGTGTTGCTGTTCATTTGCGACTCTTTACACATTCTTGCCAGCCGTCAAAGTGGTTTTCCCGCTGCAAATAAATATTATTTAAGTAAATTTACTTCTCTCCATTGTCTGCATAATAATTGCAAATATTTCTTTTTAATTTTGATTAATTCACAAATAATTGTAGTCTAAATGCCAAGCAAACTGCCAACTTTTTTTTTTTATTTTTTTTTTTTTTTTTTTTTTTTTATTCATAAAAATATTTACAAATTGTTTACACCAAATTCTTGCCTAAATCTAAGAATAATGACGACTAATTTTAGTATCCCAAATCCGCTCGGCGCTCTACGGCACAAGCTACACACATTTTTCCCATTTAATAAGCTATATACTCTATGGAAGGTATTCGAATTTCGTCACGGCATTTGCTACGCATGAATGAAAACTTCGCTGAGAATATAGAGACATAGACTCTGTCTAGCTGTCTCTCTGTACGCTATTCATTCAGTTTCTTGTTCTTGTCATGTAACCTTGCATTAGCTCATTTACCTTTTGATATCTTACATATGTTTATAATTAATAGATATCAAAGATTTATCATTATACTCATTCACGATAGTAAAATGAGCATATTGGTTTTGTGAAATATCCGCCTGCCCATTTCGAGCTAGAAAAATATGCTCGTAAATATTATCGAATAATAGTGTCAAAATATTTAATAAATATGTATGCCAAAAAGGGGGCGTGGCAGATCAGGAAATTGATCTGACAGCCTTTGGACCGTGAAAGAGTGTTCCCTACTTGGTAATGCCCGACTGCAAAGTTTTTAGTTATTTCTTTTTATAGTGCTATTGTCAAAAAATCGAAGTGCATCAGAGCATATTACTTAATTTAAAGTTAGTAAATGTTTCATGTTACTTATGTATATTCAAATTTTTATTATTTCAAAAATTTTAACATCGATTTTCTTCTTTCTTTATACTTATTTAATTTATATATATTATATCAACATATTTTCTGTAGTCTATAGCTGTAAAAATAATCGATCCACCTTAAAACAGGGTATATAATCGTCGGCATGCCAACAGTGCCTCAAGTTCTCTTTGGCTTTTTCTGTTTTTGTCACTGACCTTTGGCGCATATTGTTCAGCTGATGTTGCTTGTGAATAAGTATATATAAATATAAATATTGTATACACACAATATTTTCGTTTGATTTATTTTTAGCATTTGATATGAAAAAGCCATTTAAATGTTGTACTTTTTCTCTGCTTGTTGACGGAGAACTGGGAAATCTCTCCAATGCGCAAATAAATAAGCTCTTGCAGGTCTTTTGATTTCTCGCCACTCAGGTACAATATTTTTGGTCTTGCTGCTGTCTCGCATATATGTAAATATTGCCTAATTGGAATTATAATATGCTGCCTGAGCTGCCGAGGGACCGTAGGAAATATTTATTATATGTTTGCCCAATTGACATATCTGTGAATTGAATTTCTTGTTATGTGTGTCTCACTTTTCGACTTCGATACTTCCTTGTTCAACTTCATTCATAATTTACGAGCGAAAATGTTTTATTTCATGTTTTATGGCAAATAAATTATGCCAGACAGCGCATCGGGAAACAGACAGGACACCTAAGCCAACGATAAGAAGTTGTCGAAAGATGGCAAAATAATTTTCAGGTCCCACAATGGACGACTTCCTCTGCAGCTGCCCAAAGCGTAGCAGAAATGCTGTGGAGCCAGAGTTGCTCCACTAGGAAATACCCTGTGCTGGAATGAAATTTGGACTTTAATACTTTTTTCCTTTAGTATAATTTGTTATATATTTTATATTTATATTTATATTTTCATGTCTCACAATGGGAATTTATGTCAAAAAAATATTAATAAAAAATAAATAAAATAAAATAATAAAATAAAAATAATATGAAACTTATATAAAATCATCAAACAATGCACAACATGTGTATACCCCTTGTTAAATGCATTTAAGAATACAGCATAACAAATCCTTGCAAGTATTAGCTATCTCATGAGTGTCGAAGTGTTGATGCCCTAACAAATATAATATATTAAAATATAACCAATAACTTTATATATTGCGTAAAGCCAATTTAGGAGAAATATTGCTCATTCAAGACTTTTTTAGCTGCCTTATCTCA